TTATTATTACTATTATTATTATCGTTTATTTCGAAGAATGTTTTTGTGCACCTATTGTGGTTGGATTTGTTTGTTTTTTTCAAGTGCTCTTCTTTTTGGCACTTTTTCCATTTCTTTTTTTGCGAAAGTTTTGAATCAGCAATTTGAGTGGTCCAGAGAAATTTCATTGGGCACAACATGTGGAAAGAATCATTGGGGAATATTGTAACAACAGGCAAGTTTGATGGAAAGAGAGGGACAGGCAGACAGATGGAAAAGATACTGGACAAGTTGACAACATGGCTAGGAGCAGCAAAAACAACAGACACCATTGCTGCAAAGCAAGACAGAGTGAAGTGGAGGTCCATGATCGCCCACGCCAGTCGGCAAGGCACCGGATGATGATGAGTGCAGTCCAAAATTCGTGGCGCAACTTATCCTCAAATATATTTTTTAACGGGTGAATCAATGTCACCCATACTTTGCACCACAGTTTGTATCAATTTGTCTTAAATCAATCATATTTTTCCTCAGCAGTTGAAGCTAAATATTGTTAAAAAATTTCTTCATAAATATAAAAAAAATAATGCTACGAATCTCCTTCACGCGGAAAATGAAATTGTTCACAGCACTTCCCGCTTCTCAAACACATTTTATATACGCATTTGGCTTACGTCACAGCTCACCAAAGACACTTTTTATTCGCAGAACTAGATACAAGACATTAAATTTATAGTGAACTCATTTTTGCTTTAAAAGTTCTCAAAACAAGCGTTCAATAAGTATAATCTCGAGATTTGAAAAAAAAAAGACAGACTTGCTTTTAAAAGGGATATTGTCCCAGCTGTAAACCTTTTAAAATCCATAGAAAATTCCCACTTGGATTTGTTATGAGTATTTATTAAGGAATGTTTTACAATAGAGCCAACAGGTCTTTAGAAAAATAATGATCTGTTAAGACAAATTGTTACAAGTCATTGTACAAAAGCTGGAGAGTTTAAGTTCGATAGTTGAGGAGATATTTGACGATAAGTTCGGTCAAGAATTTTTGACCACGCTATAAGGCAGTAGTTGCCCCTTTAACCTTGAAAATTTCTAATAGAATTTAGCTGATCAATTTTAAATATGAAAAAGCTACTCCCTCCCTTTTTTCCTCCTCCCCTCCCCTCCCACGAATAAAGTTGAATAGAATATTTTTGAAGAAGCAGAACAGCAACCAAAACACAAGCAAACAACAACAACAACAACAACAACAGAAACAACAAAAGCAGCAACAACAACAGCAACATCCTGAAAATACAAACACACCAACATAAGGACAATATACAGGAGATTACTTTGTTCCTCTATGCCTTTTATACACTCTACCCTATCCATGGATTATCGCACTTCCAAATCACTTTTTTCCACAGTCCACCCCTCACCCCGCCCCACTCACTCCCCTACCATGCAAACATACACACACACACACACACACACACACACACACACTCGCACACATACAACTTACTAAATTCATCCCCAAGCCTATATACATACACACTCGCACACATACAACATCATCATTTCTCCTGTCAAGCTACCACACGACAAAGAAGCCATAAACCTTTGTTTTAGGACTCAGTACT